AATTTTGCTGATGGCTTTGTAGCCACTACTCATATTTGACTACTGAGTACTTGAAAGGTGGCCAGTCTGCTTGAGAAATGAAGTTATAAATTCTTAAAATTTTTACTTAAAATTTAATAGCCTTAGGACCAGCAGATGGTGTAATTGTTACATTGCTGGACTCCCATGTAGTTGACTGCAGTTTGAATCCCAGACCTGGTGGCTTCAAATTCACACCGTGTATGTGTGTGTGTGTTCAAAATACTGAGAGGAGAATGGAGAAGGGATTGCGGTAGGGCCATCCCCATGGAAGTGATTTCTTGCTTTCTGTCTCTCTCTCTGGAAAGCACATGCACCCTATAGCAAACCACCCCCACCCCAAAATGTAAGTATCAAGAAAAATTATCATAGAATTTGAATCTCTTGGAGAAAGAATACATCAGCATATTGTTAAATTTATTTTTCTTGGGACCAGCAGTTAGTGTAATGGCTATGTCGCTGGACTCCCACATAGTTGACCGTGGTTCGCGTCCCACACCCTGGGCGTGTGTGCATGCATGCCCAAGATCCCGAAAGGAGAATGGAGGAGAAGGGACTGCAGCGTGGCCATCCCCCCTGGGGGGTGATTTCTCGCTTTCTGTCTCTGTCTCTGTCTGTCTGGTGAGTGCACCCGCCCTATAGCGAAAACCTCTCAAAAAATTATTTTTCTTAATTACTTTATTAAATTTATTTATTTATTTATTCATTTGTTCATTTCAATTTGACCAGAGAGGGAAACAGGGAGATAGAGAGAAAAAGTGGAAAACCAAGCTGCCAGGTCTGGGACACGAACCATGGCCGGCCATGTGGGAATCCACCTTGAACCACCTCACCACCTGTTGGCCCCTGATTTCTTTCTTTCTTTTTTTTTTTTTTAAGAATTATTTTTATTTTATTTATTTTTAATTTGATCAGAGAGGGACAGAGTATGTGGGGGGCAGTAAGAAAGCAAGCTGCCAGGTCAGGGACTCAAACTATGGTCAGCCATGTGAGAGTCCAGCACCCCTAACCACCATGCCACCTGCTGGCTCCCAAGACATAGCACTTAAAACACTTGTGTTCTAAGGTTAGAACACAATGCTTAAGTACCATTAGGAACAGTCTAGTCCCTCAAAATAATGTTTGTTTTTTAAAGGTTTTTGCTATAAGGCGTGCACGCTCGCCATCAACAGAGAAAGACAGAGAGATAGAAAGCGAGAAATCACCCCAGGGGTTTGGCTACTCCGCTATCCCTTCTCCTCCATTCTCCTCTCAGGATCTTGGGCACACAAGCACATTCGCCCGGTGTGAATTTAAGCCACCAGGGCTGGGACTCGACGCGGTTGGCTACATGGGAGTTCAGCAGCACAGCACAGCCATTACGCTAATTGCTGGCCCCATCTTTTTTTTTCTTTTTAAAAGAATTACTTTTTAGTTAACTTTATGTACATACGTATGTATTTATTTCAATTTGACCAGAGAAGGACAGAGTGAGTGAGAGAAAAAGAGAGGGAAAGTGAGAAAGCAAGCCACCAGGTGTGGGACTCAAACCACACTTGGCTCCACGGGAGTCCAGCACCTCTAACCACCACACCACCTGCCAGTCCCAATCATATGCTTCTTGAATATTATCTCCTTAAACCAGTTCCTTCATGTCCATTTCACCTAATACAGATACTAATACCCTCTGACAAGACTAGCTGGGCAATAAAGATATCACATAAAAATAATCTAACTTGGGGCCAGCAGATGGCATAATGATTATGTTGCTGGACTCCCACATAGTTGACCATGGTTCAAGTCCCAACCGAGTGGCTTAAAGCTCATGCCAGGCGCATGAGTGTGTGTGCCCAAAATCCAGAGAAGAGAATGGAGCAGAAGTGATTGGGGGGACCAGTAGTTGGCATAATTGCTATGTCACTGAACTCCCATGTAATTGACTGCAGTCTGAGTCCCAGACCTGGTGGCTTAAACTCGCACCAGGCATGTTTGCATGTGTGCCCAAGATCCCAAGAGGAGAATGGAGGAGAAGGGATTGCAGTGTGGCCATCCCCTCTGGGGGGTGATTTCTCGCTTTCTGTCTCTGTCTTTCTTGCGAGTGCATGCCCCCTATAGCCAAAAGAAAAAAAAAAAGTGATTGTGGTGTGGCCATCCTCCCTGGAACGGTGATTTCCCGGGGGGGAGGGGAGGTGATTTCCCAGTTTCTCTCTGTTTGGCAAGTGTACACACCCTATAGGAAAAAAAAAACTCTAAAAAATAATAATCTAACTTGATGCTCTCTCCATGGACTTTGTTTTGCTCACAACTCTGACCACAGGATCAGGTACAAAAGAATGGTTTGTCAAATCTTAATGAAACAAACTGACTCAATGTAAGGCTATTTCATAGGTTCCTTTGTACAATTAAAAATTCTAGGGAACCAGCAGTTAGTGTAATGGCTATGTCACTGGACTCCCATGTAGTCGACCGTGGTTCACATCCCGGACCCGGTGGCTTAGAACTCACGCCAGGCGCATGTGCTTGTGTGCCCAAGATCCCAAGAGGAGAATGGAGGAGGAGGGATTGCAGCATGACCATCCCCCTGGGGGGTGATTTCTCATTTTCTGTCTCCATGTCTCTGTCTGGCGAGTGCACACACCCTATAGCAAAAACCTCTCAAAAAAAAAAAAATTCTAGGGCTGGCAGGTGGTGTGGTGGTTGGGGCACTGGACTCCCACTTGACCAACCATGGTTCGAGTTCTAAACCTGGTGGCTTGCTTTCTTACTTTCCTTCTCTCTCTGTGTCTCTCTGGTCAAGTTATATAATAATAATAATGATAATGATAATAAAATTAAATAACTCTTCTAAAAATAACAAAGTAAAATTAAATTCTAAGTTAGGACTAGAAAGTAGCATGATGGTTAAGGTACTGGACCTCCACCTGACCAACTATGGTTCAGGTCCTGGACCTAGCAGTTTGTTTTTTCACTTTTCCTGTCTCTCTCTGGTAAGTGTATGTGCCCTACAGCAATTTTTAAAAAATTATCCTTTAAAAAAAAAAGATTTAATTTAACTTTATTTTTAAAAATTTGACCAGAAAGGGACAGAGCAAGAAAGAGAAAGTGAAAGTGAGAAAATAAGCTGCCAGGTCCACACTCAAACTTCAGTTGCCCATGTGGGAATCCATCACCCTTAACCACCATACCACCTGCCAGCCCCACCTATAGTAAATTTAAAAAATAATGGGCCCAGATGGTGTAACAGTTACTTCACTGGACTCCCACATGGCCGACCACAGTTCAAGTCCTGGATGCACCAGCTTGAAACTCACACCAAGCGCATGTATGTTCCCAAAATTCCAAGAGAATGACAAAGGGATTGTAGTATGGCCAACCCTCAAGGTGGGGAGTACCTTTCTCGCTTTCTCTGTATAGTGCATGCACCCTATAGCAAAAATCTCTAAAAAATAAAAAATTTGGGACCAGCAATTGGCATAATGGCTGTCGCTGGACTCCCATGTAGTCAACCGTGGTTTGAGTCCTGGACCCAGTGGATTAAACTCATGCCGGGCGTGTGTGCGTGCATGCCCAAGATCGCGAGAGGAGAATGGAGAAGGGAATGTGATGTGGCCATCCCCCCCAGAAGGTGATTTCTCGCTTTCTGTGTCTCTCTGTGTTTCTGGTGAGTGCATGCACCCTATAGCAAAAACCTCTCCAAAAAAACTAACAAATAAATTCATGTCAGGCATGTGTGTAAGTGCCCAAGATCCTGGGAGGAAAATGGAGAAAGGATTGAGGCAAGGCCTTCTGCCAGGGGTGGGAGTGATTTCTCCCTTACCCTCTCACTGTCTTTGTCTCTCTCTAGCAAAAGCATTTGGCCTAAGTCAAAAATTATTTAATTTTATTATTGCTTTTAATTTGACCAGAGAGAGAGAAAGCAAGCCATCAGATCTGGGACTTGAAACACAGTTGGCCACATGGGGTCTAGCATCTTAACCACCATGCCACCTGCTAGCTCCCCAAATTTTTAAAAATTAAAAAAATTATAAGGGACCAGCAGGTGGCGTGGTGATTAAGGTGCTGGACACTCCCACATGGCCGACTGCGGTTTAAGTACCGGACCTGGTGGCTTGCTTTCTCACTTTCCCTCTCTCATAAATAAATAAAATTATAAAAGTTTATGGTAAATGTCCTACTATTCAATTAATCCTTCATACTGGTATGGGGAAACTAAATTGACATACATGTAGCTCAACATTCTACTTAATCCAGTAGCCATCTGTCCACCATCTACCTATCATGTGGTTTTTCACTCGTAGCAATGTTCTGATTTTGACAAGACTGATGATCTTATGTGTGTTTGTTGTTGTTGTTTTTGGAGAGATTTTTGCCATAGGGTGTATGTGCTCGCCAGAAACACAGAGAGAGACACAGAGATAGAAAGCGAGAAATCAACACCCCTGGGGGATGGCCACATTGCAATCCCTTCTCCTCCATTCTCCTCTCAGGATCTTGGGCACGCATGCACACGCGCCCGGTGTTGAGTTTAAGTCACTGGGTCCAGGACTTGAACCGCAGTCAACTACATGGGAGTTCAGTGACATAACCATTATGCCATCTGTTGGTCCCAATTTTATTTGTTTTCTTTTTTCTTTCTTCCTTTATTTTTTGTCACAGGGTACGTGGGCTCTCTGGAAGGAGACAAAGAGAGGGAAAGTGAGAAATTACCTGCTAGAAGATATGGCCACGCAGAAATCCCTTCTCCTCCATTTCTTCAAGATTCCGGGCACATACACACATGCGCCCCATGTGTTTTTCAGGCTGCTGAGTCTGAGACTCAAAACGTGGGGAGTCAGACATGTGGGACCCAGCACCTTAACTGCCACACCACCTGCTGGCCCCAATCTTATCTGTTTTTAAGATTCACAGCACTTATTTCATCCACTTGAATGAACTCTGGCTTCCATCACTCATTTAATTGACACAATAGCAATTTTGTGTGTTTGGGTAACAGCAAGTGGTTCCTCTGTTTCAGTGCATACACTTTAATAATATGACTATATCAGGTTTTTCCCAGTCTCTGCATTGATAGTTTCTCTCAGCCATATAATGAACTAGAAATTTCTGCTCAACCCTTTCATGCTAGAACATATCTGAGATTTTTCCTATGGATTTTCTGGGACATAAAATAAGACATACTTGATTACTGAAGGCACAAGTACATTCATTGCATTTGTAAGGTTTTGCTCCTGTGAGAGTCCTTTGTTATCTCCTGAGGGTGCACATCTGGACGCAGACTGTCCCATCAGGACTACGTTCCTATCTGCTAGAAGGCCACTGACATTTAATGATGTCTGTGGAACCACAGAAGGCATTTGCACAGTCATCATGTTAACAGGGTTTTTCTCCTGCATGGCATCACTGGTATGTAATGAGAGGTGATTCTCTACAGGAATCTGGACCTTGACTGAATCTCCCTGTTTCTCCCTTGTGTGTATTTTCTTATGCTTAACAAGGCAAGACATATATGCAAAAGCTTTCCCACACTCCTTGCAGCCATAGGGTCTCTCTCCTGTATGAGTTCTTTGATGGACAATGAGTTTTTGCTTTGTGGTAAAGGCTTTTCCACATTCATTGCATTCAAAGGGTTTCTCTCCCGTGTGAATTCTTTGATGTTTAATGAGACCAGACTTTTGAGAACAGGATTTTCCACACTCACTGCACACAAAGGGAGTCTTTCCTGTGTGAAATCTCTGATGTGCAATGAGACATGTCTTTTGGATGAAGCCTTTCCCACATTCATTACATATATAGGGTTTCTCGCCTGTATGAATTCGCCGGTGTACAATGAGATTTCCTTTCTGGATGAAGCCTTTTCCACATTCGCTGCATATATAGGGCTTTTCTCCAGTGTGTGTTTTCTGATGTATGTTGAGCCGTGATTTCTTAAGAAAGGCTTTGCCACATTCAGTACACTCATAAGGTTTTTCTCCTGTATGTGTCCTTTGGTGTTCCGTGAGCATGAACTTTCTGGAGAATGCTTTCCCACATAGACTACATCTGTGGGGTTTTTCTCCTGTGTGAATAATCTGGTGATCAGTGAGCCAAGACTTTTTAATGAAGGCCTTCCCACATTCACTGCATATGTGAGGCTTTACCATTTTTTTAGTTTTCTGGTGCTTAGGACTAATAAATGGGGACTTAGTGTTGATGAATTTTTGATTTGCAGGGAATTTCATTTCAGTATAAAACTGTTCATGGTTGGCATGGAGAAAGGATTCTCCATTTCCAGTAAACACAGCAGGGTTCTTTATTTCACTACTACTGCCCTGGTTAACTAAAGTTAAATTTGATTTCATATTTTTTCCACGCAAGTCAAATATATCATGATGTTGTCTTAACAGGAACTGAGTTTTGCTCTGATGAAGAATATTTTCCCATGCGTTATGTTCATGCCATTGCTGCAACCTGTTCACTGCACTTCCATGATGTAAGTGCTCCCACAGATGAGCATCAGCTTCCCAGACTTCTACAAGAGAAAAGAACAGTGAGTTTCCATCGTCCTGATTTGGAATGAAGATATTTAGTGGCCTGATGGTGCTGCAGTAGTAACCCAATGTTCTGTGATGCTCTCCTTATAGAGAAGGGCTCAGGCTCACATCCTCAGCACACTGAGCACCTGTGTATGTCCATGATCTGGGCGAGTGAGGCTGGGGGTGGATCATGAAGACCCTATTGGGGGTACCTGTCTGTCTATCTCATGAAATAAATAAATGAACTGGGGCCAGCAGATGGTGTAGTGGTTAAGGCGCTGAATTCCCACATGGCTTACCACAGTTCAAGTCTTCAACCTGGTGGCTTGAAACTCATGCAAGGCACATGTGCATGTGTGCTCAAAATTCTGAGAGAATGGAGGAGAAGAAATTGTGGTGTGGCTATCCCTTAAGGGGGGATGATTTTCCCTTTCTCTCTGTTTCTACAGTGAATGCATGTACCCTATAGCAAAAATATCTCTTAAAAAAAGAGGGCCAACAGATGGCATAGTGGTTATGTCACTGGACTCCCACCTGGCTAGCCGTGGTTCGAGTCCTGGACCCAGTGGCTTGAAACTCATGCTGGGTGCATGTGCATGCATGCCCAAGATCCTGGAAGAATGGAGGAAAAGGGGTTGTGGTGTGGCCATCCCCTCTGAGGAGTGATTTCTCACTTTTCCTCTCACTGTCTCTGTATCTGTCTCTCTCCCCATCTCTGTATCTGTCTCTCTCCCCGGTGAGCACATGCATCCTAAGGCAAAAATAATTCTTAAAAAAAGAAACTATTAAAAAATACTTTGATGAGAGGTATTTCTTTAGTGATAATTTTATGACATGAAAGTAAATAAAATTCATGTTTTTGTTTTGTTTTGTTTTTAGTTTGCTATAGGGCACATGTACTTGTCAGAGAGAGACAGAGAAGAGACAGGGAGAAAACAGAAATCATCCCCTCTGGGAGATGGACATACTACAGTCCCTTCTCCATTCTCCTCTTAGGATTTTGAGTGTGGATATACAGACCTGGCATAGTTTTCAAGCCACCAGGTCTGGGATTCCAATCGTAGAGTGGGCCATGTGGGATCTGATAGTTTTTACCTCCATACCACAGGCTGGCCCAAAATATCATGATTAATATTCCTCTCACACTGGGAAAAACAATCATATGAACAAACCAAAAGATAAAAGCCGTTAGCATAGAAAAAAGGTTAGGTAATTCCTAATGAATAAATACAGAATTGGCGGCTTTCTAAATAAGGCTTTGTAAAACACGCGTAACTATGAAGATATTTAGTGGCCTGATGGTGCTGCAGTAGTAACCCAATGTTCTGTGATGCTCTCCTTATAGAGAAGGGCTCAGGCTCACATCCTCAGCACACTGAGCACCTGTGTATGTCCATGATCTGGGCGAGTGAGGCTGGGGGTGGATCATGAAGACCCTATTGGGGGTACCTGTCTGTCTATCTCATGAAATAAATAAATGAACTGGGGCCAGCAGATGGTGTAGTGGTTAAGGCGCTGAATTCCCACATGGCTTACCACAGTTCAAGTCTTCAACCTGGTGGCTTGAAACTCATGCAAGGCACATGTGCATGTGTGCTCAAAATTCTGAGAGAATGGAGGAGAAGAAATTGTGGTGTGGCTATCCCTTAAGGGGGGATGATTTTCCCTTTCTCTCTGTTTCTACAGTGAATGCATGTACCCTATAGCAAAAATATCTCTTAAAAAAAGAGGGCCAACAGATGGCATAGTGGTTATGTCACTGGACTCCCACCTGGCTAGCCGTGGTTCGAGTCCTGGACCCAGTGGCTTGAAACTCATGCTGGGTGCATGTGCATGCATGCCCAAGATCCTGGAAGAATGGAGGAAAAGGGGTTGTGGTGTGGCCATCCCCTCTGAGGAGTGATTTCTCACTTTTCCTCTCACTGTCTCTGTATCTGTCTCTCTCCCCATCTCTGTATCTGTCTCTCTCCCCGGTGAGCACATGCATCCTAAGGCAAAAATAATTCTTAAAAAAAGAAACTATTAAAAAATACTTTGATGAGAGGTATTTCTTTAGTGATAATTTTATGACATGAAAGTAAATAAAATTCATGTTTTTGTTTTGTTTTGTTTTTAGTTTGCTATAGGGCACATGTACTTGTCAGAGAGAGACAGAGAAGAGACAGGGAGAAAACAGAAATCATCCCCTCTGGGAGATGGACATACTACAGTCCCTTCTCCATTCTCCTCTTAGGATTTTGAGTGTGGATATACAGACCTGGCATAGTTTTCAAGCCACCAGGTCTGGGATTCCAATCGTAGAGTGGGCCATGTGGGATCTGATAGTTTTTACCTCCATACCACAGGCTGGCCCAAAATATCATGATTAATATTCCTCTCACACTGGGAAAAACAATCATATGAACAAACCAAAAGATAAAAGCCGTTAGCATAGAAAAAAGGTTAGGTAATTCCTAATGAATAAATACAGAATTGGCGGCTTTCTAAATAAGGCTTTGTAAAACACGCGTAACTATAAAATATAAGTGATTCACTGTGAGCAGCAGATCAGAGGCTGGAGGCCACCCTCTCCAAAGGGATAGGTTCATTCAATCCCCAGTTCCTTACTGAATAACAACTGTACACCAAGTGTGGTGCTAGTGTTGGGGTTGTTCATGGAGCCTATATGGTGACCTGGTAAAATAACTGAAAAGCACAAAGAAGCACAAGAAAAGCAGTTCCAGGTTGTGAAGAGTAGCTTGAAGGAGCTATGAAGATAGATGTGGAGGAAATCAGGTTATGGAGGGCAAGGCTCATTGACAGATTCATTGTTGAACTTGGTGTTGATTGTCTGTATGTTTTTGCTCACTGCTGTTATCCTATGATAGCATATACTGTGCTACCAGAAAAAAAAAAATTTTTTTTTCTTAGTTTTTTTTCCATAGGCCATGTGTGCTCACCAAAGATAGAAAGAGGGAAAGTGAGAAATCAGCCCCCAAGGGGATGGTCACATTGCAATCCCTCCTCTATTCTCACAATTTTGGGTAGACAGGCACACACAATTGGCATGTTTTTCAAGATGCTGGGTCCAGGACTCAAACCACATAGTCAGTCATGTGGGATCTAGTCACCTCAACCATCACACCACTGGCAGACCCAAGAAACATTGAAAATATTTTTTCTAGTTGAATTTGGATTCAACTTGGCACATGGGGTAGAGCACTGCTGTATAATGCTGGAGCCTTGTGGAAAGGCTCTGGGTTTGGATCCAGGTCAACCTGAGCATAACAGGCATGCCCATTGGTACATCCATGCTGCTGACTGGCTGAAGGGTTGTAGGAAGGATTATGGTGTGTTGAGACCCTGTAAGGGATGCCTGTCTTTCTCTCAGGAACGAAAAAAAAAAAAATTCATCATGGGGCCAACTAATGGTGTGGTGATTAAGGTGAGTGGATGCCACATGGCAGTTCAAATCTCAGATTGTGTGGTTGAGAAACATGCCAGGTACATGTTTGTGCATGCCCAAGATCCTGAAAGCAGGAAGAAATGGAAGAGAAAGGGTTGTGGCATGGCCATGCCCCATACGGGGATGCGTTCTTACTTTCCTTCTTTCTCTCTCTCTCTCTCTTTCTGGAAAGCATACATAGCCTCTAGCAGATTGAAAAAATTTGGGGGGCTGGCAGGTGATGAGCTGGACTCCCACATGACTGACAACAGTTTGAATCCCAGATGGGATGGCTTGCTTTCTCACTCTGTCCCCCATTACTCTGTCCCTCTCTGGTAAAATTAAAAAAAATATATATATGGATAAATAAAGTAATTCTTTAAAATGTTTTTTTTTTTTTCATTATGAAAAGTAGAGACCTTTAGGGAACCAGCAGTTAGCGTAATGGCTATGTCGCTGGACTCCCACGTAGTCGACCGCGGTTCGCGTCCCGGACCCGGTGGCTTAAAACTCACGCCGGGCGCGGATTGCAGTGTGACCATCCCCCCTGGGGGGTGATTTATCGCTTTCTGTCTCTATGTCTCTCTCTTTCTGTCTGGCGAGCGCACGCGCCCTATAGTGAAAACCTCTCAAAAAAAAAAAAAAAAAAAGTAGAGACCTTTAAAGAAAGATGTATAGGTAGGAAACATTTGAGGTAAGGCCAGAATAGCCAGGATTTGAGATGTTCAGGAGAGAAGAGAACTGAAAGATAAGGGGTTTTCTTGGATCAAAGAGGAGTCCAGATCCTTGCAGTTATAAGGACTCACAGGAGAGCTGCCATTAACATAGAACTAAAGTCTGTGTTAGGTAACATTAGAGGGATGTCAGTTTGGAGTCTCTGCCAGGAAACAGAGGGAATCTAGTTAATTAGAATGAAGAGCCCTGTGAAGAGTGAGGAGAATCAATGAGAAAATAAAAAACAGAACCTCTGAAGAGACTCAGTGAGGAAAAGAGAAGCAAACGCATAGAAGTGGGCAGTTTACTCTGAGGACTTAGTATCCAAGATCAGTGGAGATGGTTGTTGGAGACAGAAACCAGCCCAGACCTGAGAGATAAGCCAGAAGGGAAGAACGCAGAAGGGAGTAGAAAGCAACCCCATTCCCAGACCGAGAGCTGCAGGGACTTCATGGTCAATTGGATGGAGCTCCAAGCATGGGCTGTGTCTTAAGATGTTTGGCATCATTCCACAAGCCCAGATATTGTCCAAGTACTATATTAATGATAGTTATTAATCTTGTACCAGGGACATAGCCTACAAAGAATGTCATGTATTTGGGACCAGCAGATGGAGCAATGGCTATGTTGCTGGGTTCCCATGTAGTCGACTGCGGTTTCAGTCCCGGACCTGGTGGCTTAAACTCACACAGGGCACATGTGCATGTGTGCCCAAGATCTCGAGAGGAGAATGGAGGAAAAGGGATTGTGGTGTGGTCATCCCCCGGGGGGTGATCTCTTATTTTCTGTCTCTGTCTTTCTAGCGAGCATACACGCTCTACAGCAAAAAACTCCATACCCTCCCCCTCAAAAAAAAAGAATGTCATGTATATTGCACACCGTTCTTTATACCAAACTCCCTCACTGCTTATCTAATTTAGAATAAATGGGCTCTGTTCAGGCACAGTTTTGCTTTTACTGCAAGAGAGCTTTAGCCCCCTGCTTTAACTGGTTCTTTTTCTCCTGTCTCAATTCTTTGTGACATCCTACCTTCAAGTCCTGAGTTTCTCACAACGGGTGAAAGAGAAATGGGCACTACCCAGCAGGCAGGAATGGCAACAGTCAGGAATTCAAAATTCTCTCTTTAGAGAGAAGCCTGGGAGGTGGAATCTCACAGCAAAGGTGGTGGGAGAGCATGAGATGGAACTATTTGGGAATCCTAGGAAAGGTAAAATTGTACAAACAAAAAGTCCAGATGTAGATAAGATGGAGACAGATCAGATACCAGAAGAAACAAAGGGTACATTTTCTCTAAACTCCTACACAGAAAAAGAGGTCTCACCATGTTGGGAGAAAGATATGTGGAGGGAGGAGGCACTCTACGTTTCCTCAAGGCCCCCCCAGCTATGATAGCTTCTCTGACTGACTAGAAGGTGACTTTCACAGCCTCCTGCTTGGCAGGGTCTCTTGCTCACCTGAACAGGTGTCACCAGGCGCTCTATCATCTACCATCCAGAGTTCTCCTTGCTCCAACTTAGAGCGCGCATCTGGTTGGCTGACTTGATACCCTGTTCATGGGAAATGATAGATGACTTAGACACAAAAAAATGGGATTGGGGTCTGTAAAGATGACAGAACAGAGGGACCAACAGATGGCCTAATGGTTATATCGCTGGACTCCCAGGTAGTCAACCCTGGTTCGAGTCCTGGACCGGCAGCTTAAAACTCATGCTGGGGGGACCAGCAGTTGGCATAATGGCTATGTCGCTGGACTCCCATGTAGTCGACCACGGTTCGAGTCCCGGACCTGGTGGCTTAAAACTCACGCCGGGTGCGTGTGCGTGCATGCCCAAGATCCCAAGAGGAGAATGGAGGAGAAGGGATTGTGGTGTGGCCATCCCCCCTGGGGGGTAATTTCTCGCTTTCTGTCTTTCTCTCTCTCTGTCTGGTGAGCGCACGAACCCTATGGCAAAAACCTCTCCAAAAAAAACAAAAAAAAACAAAAAAAAACAAAAAACTCACGCTTGTGTGTGTGCATGCCCAAAAATCCTCAAAGAAGAATGGAGGAAAAGGGATTGTAGCATGGTCATTTCCCTGGGGGGATGATTTCTTGCTTTCTGTCTCTCTCTGTTTCTCTGGTGAGTGCATGGACCCTAGAACAAAAATCTATCTTAAAAAAAAAAAAAGATGACACAATATTACATTATAAGATAAAATAATTTTCATGCATAAAAAGAAGAATATATCTACTTATCTGGAACCAGAAAGAAAACTGAGAATCTACCATTTCAGAGCAAACAAACCCTGCAGAGCTTTCAGAAACTGAGAAAGAAAGGAAAGACCACCAACTGGCACCCTGAGTAGAGCAGCTGTCCTCACCCAGTGCCAGCAGATTGCTGTAGTTCTCCAACATCACATCCTGGTACAGATCCTTCTGAGCAGGGCCTAAGAGTTGCCATTCTTCCCAGGTGAACTTCACAATCACATCCTCTAGTGTCAGGGATTCCTGCAGTAACACAGACCATTTAATGGAATGAGTTTTTTCTGATACACAGGAAATGTTAAAGTTTTCTTGCTCATTTTTACTCTATTGGATTCATCTATTGAGCTGTCGAAAAAGTCATGATGTATTTTTTTTTGTTTTCTTTATGTGAAAATGCATCACAACCTTTCTGACAATTCTATATACCTGGTGCTATTTTCTTGTAAATACATTGTGTAAAAAAGTAAAATCCTGAAGGGACCAGCAGTTAGCGTAATGGCTATGTCACTGGACTCCCACATAGTCGACTGCGGTTCGCGTCCTGGACCCAGTGGCTTAAAACTCATGCAGGGTAAAAAAACCCAAAAAACAAACAAAAAAAGAACTCATGCCGGGTGCATGTGCATGTGTGCCCAAGATCCCAAGAAGAGAATGGAGTAGAAGGGACTGTGGCATGGCCATCCCCCATGGGGGGTGATTTCTCATTTTCTGTCTCTCTGTCTCTCTCTGTCTGTCTGGCGAGCACACACACCCTATAGCAAAAACCTCTCCGAAAAAAAAAAAAAAAGTAAAATCCTAATAAAATATTTTCTAATTGTAAATAAAGTCACCATCCATTAATGTGATTTATTAGTTTTTATAATGCATACATGTTAAACCTTGCCAAAAGAACTGTAACATTCACACATATTACATAACAAAGGATATATATATATACAGAGAACTGAGGAAAATACTTCACTTACTATTACCAGTTTATAAGAAAGGATACGGGACCAGCAGTTGGCATAATGGCTATGTCACTGAACTCCCATGTAGCCAATCGCAGTTCAAGTCTCGGACCTGGTGGCTTAAACTCATGCCGGGCGCGTGTGCGTGCGTGCCCAAGATCCCAAGAGGAGAATGGAGAAGGGATTGCAGCATGCCCACCCCCCCCCAGGGGGTGATTTCACACTTTCTATCTCTCTGTCTCTTTCTGGCAAATGCACGTGCCCTATAGCAAAAACTTCTCAAAAAAAAAAAAAAAAAAAAAAGGATACAACTCTTTTATTACAGACAGACAGCCTAATAGAGGAAAAGGTACAGGGCAGGGCAGAGGGATGGGGCATCCATACTCATCCACCCCAGAGCACTCCATACCTGTTATTTCTGTTTTTTTTTTTTTTTTTTTTTTTTTAAGAGAGATTTTTGTTATAGGGCGTGTGTTTGCTAGAGAAACAGAAAGCAGGAAATCACATTCGGGGGTGGGGAGGATGGCCATGCTGTAATCCCTTCTCCTCCATTCTCCTCTCGGGATTTTGGGCACGTGCACACACACGCGCCTGGTCTGAGTTCCAAGTTGCCTGGTCTGGGACCTGAACCCCGTTCGACTACATGGGAGTCCAGCAATGTAACCATTACACCATCTACTGGTCCCTCATTTAATTTTTTTTACATAGGCACAACTGACTAAATCACTAGCCATTGGTGATTAAGTCTCCAGTCCTCTTCCCTCCCTGGAAGTGTGTGTATGTGTGTGTGTGTGTGTGTGTGTGTGTGTCTTGGGGGGGTGAGAGTGACGATTTCAGTCCTCTATTCACATGGTTGGTTTTCCCTGATAACTGGCCTCTCCTCCTTAGGAGTGGCCCAAAAGTTACCTCATTAACACAACTTCAGGTTACACAAAACAAAAGATACCCCTTTCACCTTTACCCTCCAGTGCTATTTCAGGAACCAAGAAAAAACATCACAGCAAAAGATAATCCTATCATTTTTTTCACTTAAAAAATTACAAAGGTTTTTAGGAGCCCTGGCCTAGAATCAAGGATAAAACCCAAAATATATATTTATTATATCACAATTATAATATGCTAAACATATAGTGAACTGTAATGTACAACTGAGAAAAATATCCAGAATGTAGCAGAGAGACTGTGAAAATATAAAGGAGTTGGCTTGTACATTCTTAGAATTATGATTCATTCATGTGCTAAAAAAAATACTAGATGTCTGTGTCTATGTCTGCAGATAGATAAACAGAGGGGAACTCATATTTGTGGAAAAATGGAAGTAAAGTATAAGTTTACTTATCTATTTTCTTAAGAGATTTTTGCTATAGGGTGCGAGCACTCACTGGAGAGACTTTAAGAGACAGAGAGAAAAAGTGAAAAATCACCCCTCAGGGGGAATGGCCATACCACAATCCTTTCTCCATTCTCCTCTTGGGATTTTGAGCATGTATGCACGTACCCTGGTGTGAGTTTCAAGTTACCAGGTACAGGACTAGAACTAAGGTCAGCCATGTGGGAGTCCAGCGCTTTAACAACTATGCCTCCTGCTGGCCCCTATTAGGAGTTCATTTTGATGTAAAAACATTTTGAAATTCACAGATCACTTTTTCACAACACACAATTTCCATGAACTAAAGACCTCTCCCCACTTTGTATACTCTTTTTTTTTTTTGGAGAGATTTTCACTATAGGGCGCATGCACTCGCCAGACAGACAGAGAGAGACATAGAGACAGAAAGTGAGAAATCATCCCCCAGGAGGGATGGTCACGTCGCAATCCCTTCTCCTCCATTCTCCTCTCGGGATCTTGGGCACGCATGCACACGTGCCCGGCGTGAGTTTTAAGCCACCGGGTCCGGGACGCGAACCGCGGTCGACTACGTGGGAGTCCAGCGACATAGCCATTACGCTAACTGCTGGTTCCCATGTATACTCATTTTTTTAATACGCATACAGCACATATTCATTCACAGACACAGTGATAGTCCACGTGGCTGACCTTAGGTCTAGCCCCTTCCAGAAATTGGGTTAATAACTTTTGGTTCTATTCTTCCAGAGGTTGGAACTGATATAGCATGGCCCAAGGGCCTCATTATGGATCACACATTCAAACTGTCTGGAGGTCAAAGCACTCAAGGAAACAAAGATATTCCTATTAGGCAGGGCATTCCAGGGCTTAGAGAGCATCCTCCAATAGTATGAGGGCAAAGGCCAGACCTCTCTTTGCATAAGGTCAATTCTTTTTTTTAAGAATTATTTCATTGGGGACCAGTTGTTGGCATAATGGCTATGTCGCTGGACTCCCACATAGTCGACCGTGGTTTAAGTCCCGGACACAGTGGCTTAAACTCATGCCAGGCACGTGTGCGTGCATGCCCAAGATCCTGAGAGGAAAATGGAGAAGGGACTGTAGTGTGGTCATCCTCCCACAGGGTGATTTCTCACTTTCTGTCTCTCTGTCTCGCTCTGTCTTTCTGGCAAGTGCACATGCCCTATAGCAAAAACTTTTCTTAAAAAAAAGAAAAAAGAATTATTTTATTGGGAATGGCAAGTGGCGTGGTGGTTAAGGGCGCTCGATTCCCACATGGCTGACTGTGGTTCAAGTCTTGCTGGATCTGTTGTTAGTGAAACTGCAGAGAGATATAGGTCTAAAAAAAGTCACGTGTTTAATCAAAACTGGCCCCAAAAGACAAAAAAAAACAACTCCATGACACCAGTTATCTTCTCATCTTCAGCCAATTAATATCCCAAAATGAATGGCTTTACATTCCATTTCCTCTTCCCCCATTTTCTCTCTTTCTTTCTTTCTTTTTTTTATATGATCAGTTATTTAATTAGGTTCTTGACAAAAAAATCTAGAATACCAATTTGTGAGGATAGACTCCATTTGTAAAGGCAAACATGGATCGCAGGTAGCCCTGGAACAGCTTTGATTTTTGGCAAAAGTTGCGAATCCACAGCTTTCTGACCAATCTTGCGCTGCTCTGAAATCTCGTATCTCTCCATCTCTGTGTCGAAGATATCACCTTCCTGGTGTCTGGGCTTCCACAGTTTCTTTTTCTGAAATAAGCATCGGCAAGGTGCTTTGGGATTTTTACTTTGCTAATATCAATTTTCGTGGAGGAGGCAATGACAAATTTCTGGTGTGTTCTACGCAGTGGAACTCGATTGAGAACCAGCGGTCCAGTTCCAAGTAGCAAGCCACTGCTCAGCTGCTTCAGGAAAACCACTCTCTATCCTCTGTGGTGTCTAGTGAGGATGATCAGAATGGTCCCAGGAGTGATGCTGGCTCGCAGCTTTCTCACATGCTGACTGAAGGGTTTTTTCCCTTGGCTCAACAGCTTTCGAGGTACATCTTCAGTAGGATAATACCTAGGCATTTTGCGCAGTTTAACCATCTGGGTACCACCATTCTTGTCTCCACCAACCGGTTTTGTGACAGTCGCAAGAACCTTCTCCTTTTTCTTTTCAATCCTGGATTTGGTGGCCGAGTATTTCCTCTTGTACATGGTCTTCCTGGAGTACATGGCAGACCGGGAGTATCTGCTGATGCCCCAGACTAGGACGGGGTTTCGGCTGCAATGGGGCTTCCCCTTCTTGGGCTTTTTAGCCTTGGGGTCACCCTTTTTGACCTTGCTACTGGCATCAGCCTTCTTGGCTTCAGGTTTCTTCTCCTTAGTATCCTGCTTTGCAGCTTTATCGCCTGCCATCGTGTATAGTGGGAAAGACTCTTCCCCCATTTTCTACCCTTACAAAGAATAAACCTGGGGCCAGTTCAGAGTCATGACTTTCTCTTGTATGTTTATTTTTATATTTATCTCTAATCCACAACCCCCCACTCAAAAAAACATGTTGTGCCAAAGGAGTCCCAACAGAAAAAAAACGTGGCTTGATCACATTCCATTGGAAAGTACTTTTTCCTTCTTTTAAAATTTCTGTCTGTCTGTCTCTTTCTGGCAGGGGGAGGGAGTAAGTCCTTTAGCAATAAAAAGAAAAAAAAAGAATGATGAAAGAAATTTCCTGAGACCAAAGTGCCATGAAATACTGGCATGTTCCCAGGAAGTGACCTGTTATTTATTCAAAACTGGTGCATACCATGTAAATTACAATGATTATCTGGTGGTACTGGCTGTCAGAGATATTCTGTACCAGCTGACAGCTAATGTAACCCATAGGATTCTCTAGTCATGCATGATGTTCCACTGTAGCAACTTACTGTTAGTCCTATAAACAAAACATATTCCTTATGTTGAA